GGGCTTTATAGGTGCTCTGGTAATCTGGTTAAATGCAGTATCTGCGCATGCATGCTAATTGCCTCTAAAGCTGCGTTTGACAGTGTGTACCAATTGATGGAGTCAGCTGTGATCGCAGCAGAGGTCATGGTCCTGCCGCTCTGGCCTCACGCTAAACACTTTACCAGAGCTTCAATTAACACCTGATCACTGACGGCCCGATTGATCGGTGGAGACCTGACCTCTCCTGCATATCTGATGGAGCGCAGCTCGTGTATTTTTAGCTGTAGGATTAGGCATCTTCAGAAGAGAGTTCGTCTGTGGATTCTCAGCTAATTATCAGCTTGTAGGAGCTGCACATTTGTGTGCGCTTTCATTGCTGGTGTGAAACGGGAACTCTAGGTGATAAAATAACAATGAAGGTGTAGCGCGTTAATTGATGCTCTGCTGTTCAAACACAAATGCTTTAATAATGTTAATGAATTGCACCTTTTTTGACGTAAGGCTCTGACATTTGGGTGAAACGATCACTGTTTTATGATTTATGGCAGTGTCCACCGATAGGCTGCAAATTAGGGCTTGAAACTCTATTATTTTCTAATGGTGAACAATATGTTCAAATATTAAATAAATGTATCAGAATGTAAAATGGGTTACAGGCTTGCAGATTTATCCTAAATAAAGCTGTCATTCTGTAGCTGTTTAATATTTTGGTTTGTAGTTATTGGTTAACTTGTATTTCCTATAAAATGCAGAAAATACTAGCTCAAATATAATTTGGAATATTGCGATTTGTGTTTCTCAGTAAGTTGCTTTGGATAAAAGCTCTGCTAAATAAATGCAAAGTTAATGTTAATTCTCACTCATGCAAAGGTTTTGCAAGGAAAAAAAATCTTGTGATAACAGGGCTGCATGCAAAATGTGATAAATTGCACAATATAATTTTTTTATTTATATACTTACAAAAAATTGACAGTCATTTCAAATATGATTATCAAAATTAATCATTTTAATTTTTAGATACAGTAAATAGAAGAACCTTCCACATCTGAAAAAAGCAGACATACAAGAGACCAACTATATGAAGAGTTAATTTGCAAAAACAGAACTTTTGTTTGAAATGTTTTTTTCATTGCGCATTCCAATTAATCTCAGTCAAGCTGCAGTTGGGTTATTTTGATTAGGTAAAAAAATTACAAAAAAATACAGCTAACTAACTCAATAAAACACAATAAAAACATGATTTTTGAAAATTTTAAAAAACTGAGTTATGTTTTTTTTTTTTCAAATAAACTCTTCATATGATAAACAGAGCAGATGAAATCCTGGACACTACCCAGAAACATGCAGTATATTTAATGCAGTTTTTTTCTGTCATCCAAGAATCAAAAAAATAAATAGCATACAAATACCAGATCAACTTCCCAGAAAACACTAGCTACTATGTAGCAACACACTAGCAAGCACCCAGAACACCCTACATAACAATCTTTCCGTCTAAAAGAGACTGCATGGCCTTCAAACTTTGAGATTTTCTAACTTTCTGACTAGGCTTTCTCAAGCCAACATGAAGTTTGTCTTGATTATCTTTTTGTAACAAGTGTATGAATCATGAACACGTTTCCCCCCCGGTGGTGTCCCAGTGTCAAGTTTTCTCTCTATTAAAGGAAAGTGAAGTCATCAGTGTGTTGTTTGGACTCTTTTCTCATGTTGATGTGCTGCCAGAAGCGCTGCTGGCATGGCTCAAGTCTATAATTGTGTTTCGGATCATAGAAGGATTGTTTTAGAAGCACACTCATGTAGATCTGTGACTCCTCATGGCTGATAATTCTTATTTAGAGAATTCGTATTTATTTTTCATTTTCCACTGCTTATCCGGGACTGGTTTGTAGTGACAGCAGACCCTAAATAAGGATGCTCATTTTCCCTGGCCACATCTCCCAGCTCATCCTGGGGGATCCCAAGCTGTTCCCAGGCCAAGCGAGAGTGCGAACACCGCTTTCACATTGGTTGTAAAGAGACCGGATAGCGTGCATTAGTGTACAAGGTACCCATACTCCCAGAACGCCCCCCCCCCCCACAAGCAAT